TGTTCTCGCTCATTGATGTTTCTAGCTCTCCCTCCCCCTTCCACTCTCTCTAAAGTCAATGAAGAAGAAGAAGAAGAAGAAGAAGAAGAAGAAGAAGAAGAAGGGCAGCAGCAATGGTTCCCCAGGTGACTAGTAGCTTTCACAAACCAACCTGGTTGTCTCATTTCAGAGAGACACCTGAGCTGTCCCACGCCAGCTAAGGGACCCGTGGCACAGACACAACCCGTCCCCCAGCAGTGCATCCCGGTCATGCACTGGCCCCTCTGAAACACATCTCCAGTTTTCCCCAAACCCTCACTGGAAATGTATTTATTCTCAAAATAAAAGAAGTGTCCTGTGCTCCGGGCTCTAGGTAGAACAGAGTATTGGCCAAAGAGCTGGAATTTGCAGACTTACCATGTGATAGGACCTCGGAAAAGCCTCCACAGTTGTCCCTCTAAGTCTTCAAGTAAAACTGACCGTCTGGGATAATACACTATGTTTAGCTTGGGTTCCAGGCCTCCCCGATAGACCACTCCATACTCCCACGACCCACAAACTCCGGCCTGAGAAGCATAGCACCTGGGAAAATAGCAACGGAAACTACGAACTCTAATATGACGCGACCCACCCACCATCCACCGCGCACATCTGCGGACCTGCTGAGCTTTGTCTTCATAAAAATTAGTCCAACACCATGAGTAAAATTCATATGATAAACAGCATTATTTTTTTAACATTTCAAAAAAAAAAGGATATATTTCAGAAAAAAACAAAGTTCAGAAGAGGCAGCGTGATGGAGTACTTCCTAGAGGACATGTGTTAAATAATAACCACAAAGATTATTCTACTTAATTTCCAAAGATACACGGTCAAAGCTTTACAGCTTCTCACCACCAGCCCTGCAGCCCGGCAGTGACACCCTGGTTTGAGTTAAGTAGGAGAAGGTGAATCTTAATGGGATTGCTGGGTTATAGAATCTGGAAAAGAAATAGGATTGACCTTATTTAGCTTTACTCATATCCAGTTACCAGAATTAAGCTATAATGTATCAGCCCAACAGAAGAGCATTAAAGGGTCTGTGTAGAGTGGCTGGATCTTGTGCTGGGAGTTTGTTCCTGAAGGCGAATCTTCCCCAGGACTAGCGGGCCTTTCTGTCTAACATCTGCAGTGGCAGTTTCTATTCACCTGGCCTGTCAAACTGTACAATTCTTAAACTAGCTTTTAAGTTGTGGGGTGAATATTTCTTTAATTATTGTGTATGCATGAGACTTGACTGATACTTTACGTTTACCATTTCAAGGTCACACAATCGAGTCGGCGTCAAGTGTGGACATTCTGCACAGAGCATAGTGAAAGTCAATGAAAACAGTCATCCCCCATGCCAGGTTCTCAACTGAGTAAATTAACCTGCCTCGTCACCCTCTCCTTCAGAGCTGAAGCAAAGAAATGTGGGACCGCCTCCGTGGGACGGCCTCCGTGGGACCCCCCTGCTGCAGCACAGATTCCCGTGGCCTCGGAGCCTGGACTGGTGACAGGGACCAGCGAGCCCTTGGTGGTAAGCAACCCAGGAGGAGAGGGCTCCCGCACAGAGATCAGCTCAGGGCAGAGCCCTGCACACAGCCCAGGCCCGTCCGCCCCACGGACGGCAGAGGGGACCCCAGTGAACTGTCAGTGGCACTCTCCAATGACAGCACGAGCCACCTCGGAGCATCACCAGGGCCCGAGGACCTGCACCGAGAAGGCGCCAAACTCAGCAGTAGAGTAACACACACAGAAAGACAAAGCGTGCAGGGACGCGAGCCAGTGCTGCAAAGGAGAGCATGCTTGTCTTCAGAGGGTAAAGGGAGGATATCACATCCATAAGCCAGAACAGACGGGCATTCACTTCCTGCAAATGGAAGATTAAATTGTAAACACTGAAATCAAGAGGCAGTGATCAGGGGTGCACGCAGATGGAAAGCCGATTCTCACGCGCGAAGACGGGGTTGTAAGTTCTTCCAGAGCAGAACCACAGGCGGGGACGCTGGAGCTGTGCGTGGACAGTCCCAGTAGGAGCTAGAAGCTCTGGAAAGAAAGAACAGATGTGTTGGAAGAAAGAAAACTCTGTTTTAATGATCAAAATAATGATCCATGTGACACCCTTGCGCTTGAGTATCAGAGTTGAAATGGTTGAATGAGAGGTAAGAACACATGAAAAAATAACCAGACCTAGACTCACTGATATTGCATTGCAGAAAGACAAGTAAAAATTTAAAAATCCCTAAAACATCCAGAAAGTAAAAACAGGTATTTCCTAAAAAGAAAGGAGACCCGGGTTGACCAGACATCTGCCCGGTGGCAGGCACAGAGCAGCCAGGGACCACTGTCTTCGCCGTGTTCGGAGGAAGGAACCTGTCACCTAGAAGGAGCCTGTCACTCACCCACATGGCCGGTGAGCCGGGAGGGGGACTGGAAGACTTCAGAAAGCTCCCCAGTCTTGAATTCTCACTACAAAACTACTAGAGGATGGTTACCAACAAAACTAAAAAGGGATCCGAGAAAGAGTCAGGAGTCTAAGAAACAGCGATGAGCAAAGGAGAAAGAGAGAGGGGGAGGGATTTAAATAAATGCCGGTACTTGAAGTGACTGGTAGCGATCCAGAATGAATCTGTCAGTTTATTGCAACACCTGCAGTGATCGGGGGGCAGGAGAGGCGAAGTAAAAGTGTGCTAAGATCCCTGAGCCAACAGAGACAGATAGCACACTTACAGTTATGGAGAAAAATACAGGTAAGTGTCTGTATCTGAATTTGGACTACAAAGATGGGTCGAAGTACCGTGTGCACCTTGAGAGAAAGTGGAAAGCACTGCAGCAACAACAAAGAACACAAACCAACAAACAGTGAGAAGGGGAAAAAACAGGGTATGATACATGGAAGGAATAAATGAAGGCAGGAAAAATGCCCCATTACAGCAATCATAATGACTAGAAACAGGTGGTAGTGACCTATGGAAGATCAGGGACCCTGAGTTTGGCTAAAAAGGCAAAAGCCAGACCTATACTTAGAAACAGAATTATCCCAGGGCCGTTGAATTAAGAAATCAAGAACGATAAACCACATAAAGGGTAACAGAAAACAAAGATCAGCAAAATTAGTTTCGCAGAAAAAAAGGGATACAAGGAGAAAAGTATTAAAGAGGACAAAGAGGAACACTTCTTATTGATGAAAGAGGACCCACCGGGACCGCTCGGGCAGCCCGGGGAAAGATGCTCCTGCCTGTCACTTTTTCAATCTTGTCGTCATTGGGTTGGGTGTCTTTGTAAATCAGTGAACAGAACAAATCCCCAGGCTCCGTGAAGCTTTTGTTCCAGGGGAAGGCGGACAGACAAAAAACTAATGAGTAATCAAACTCTGCCGCCTGTCAGATGGTGGCAGGTGCTGAAGGAGAAATAAAATAGAGAAGGTGACAGGCAGGGCCGTTTCGAATGGGGTGGCAAAGGAAGGTCTCACTGAGGCGGTGATGTATGATCAAAGACTTCAAGGAGCCGAGGAAACAATTATGTGTATTTTCGAAGCAAGGGAACTCCAGACAGAGGGCACAGCGAGAGCTGGGGGGTGAAGTGGGCGGGGGATGGGAGGAGTGGTCAGCCACGGAGGGCAAACCAGACACCCACGAGACAGGCACTGAGGTTCCCTCCCAGGACGACTTTAGGAAGTTTCCAAATAAAACACATGAGATCACCTACCTGAAAAATGACACAACCTTAAAGATGTCGTACAAAAGGAGACTCTTAGAGCTGTATGACATCCAGTCTGGGAGACCTGAATTAAATCTAAACACGTATTGAATTCCGACTAGGAGTAGAACAGCTTACGCCTACCCCCTTGCATTTGACCCACTGCACAGACAGACGTATGAAGAGAAGGGCTTCGTTCACGGGTCTGGGGATCTCAGGTACAGCACGGCGACTCTAACTAACAACACTGTGCCGTCGACTGAAATGGTCAAGAGAGCAGGTCTGACTTGTCCTTGCCACAGAAACAGCAGCTGGTGAAATGGACGCGACGGTGATGACGAATGTGCAATTATAAATGTTGCAAATCAACATGTTGTACCCCTCAGCTTATACAATGCTGCGTGCCAGTGAGCTCAGGGAGGAAGCTGGGGGAAGAGAGGGTTGGTCCCCACAGGATCCATGAAGCAGGAGTCTGAGAGACAAAATGTGCTTCCCCACAGTCCTCCTGGGCAAGGAGTTTACTGACCAAGAGGCTTGAAAAGTGGGTTTACTTAGCAGGTATAGTTTTCATTTCACCATAAAGATTGATGTGTCTGGGGATTATTAGGTCATTGAAATCCCCCAAATGATTTCGGGCTGAGCGAGCAGCCTCGGGAAGCAGGCGTTTCCCGCAGAGGTTCCCTGCGGAAGGAGCATGTCCTGATGAAGGACTCGAGTATCTCATCCCAAGGGGACGTGGCCGACATGGGAGTAACATGGCATTCTGATGTATTCAGTCTTCTCAGGTGACTGGTTCCCACAGTCATCAGACTGAAACTCCAGATGCACAGAGACGAAAGGGACCTCCAAGCTAAGGGCCACGCTTTGGAATAGTTACTGCACTGAGGGAGAGCGGGGTCTGCCTCTCGGGTGCCCCCAGACCTAGCCAGCGAACCGCGCGTTTGAAACACTGTACTGACAAAAGGGCACTGGACTTAACGGAAAACCAGCTGGGACTCGGCCACCACTAGCCATCGATCCTGGACAGAGTCGTTTAATCGCTCTGAGCCTGAGATTGATGGAGCTTTCGAAATGGGAGGAACAAACAACAACTATTCTGCTTATCTCACGGACTTCTCTGGAGCTCAGAATCTAAATCTAAAACAAACAGTGGTGTGAGTAACAGATATTCATGTTATCACCACATCCCCTGTAGCCTGAGCACATAACTGATAGGCTGAGGCACATTCCCACAGTTATCTGAACACTGAAGACAAGATGGAAAACCACTAACCCACTAAACAAAATATAGGAAATCCTACCTCTCAGCAACTGGTTTGGCAATGTTTGCAAAAATGGTCTCTTGGTTTGCATCTTGATCAAAAATCCTTTGAAATCTGCAAATGTGAAAACAGTAATTATTTTCCAGCTGAGCCTTCAAACACTATTGGATTATTTTTTTTCCCCTGACAGCTTTGTAAATGACCCCATATTTACATCACTGGGCTTACCTAACCCAGCACAATGTCGGCCCTGTGGTCCCCACCACAGTGCGCCGTTGTATCCCGTATACCAATGGTGGGTAAACAGTATTGCTTTGACAAGATCTGCACAATAAATCCCTCTGAAAAACTGCAGCAGCTTTGAACCAAATAATAAACTGTGTGTTTTTAGCCCTCAAGAGGGACAGTGTCTGCAACTGGCATCAAATTCAAGTCGAGATAAGTGCATGAAACGGAAACCCAAGAACAGGACGTAAACAGCCGAAGAACCGCTGATGTGCGACCTGGAGGGAAAGAATGCGGCTGAGCAATGTGTGCTCGTTGAACTTGGCTTGAACACTTTGAACTGAAGCTTACTTTCCATTAATTAGGTATTACATCCTAGCGTGAGCTACTCCGTTTTCAGGGAAGCTTCTCTCACTTTGTGGATCATGAGTCAAAAGTCAAAAAGTGACCTGAGATAGACCTGTCCTGTCGAGAGCAGCCTGCGTGGGACTGGCGAGGCCAGGAGCACGGGGAGGGAGAACGGTGTCAAGTTCGCTCTCCCGTGCAGGGGCTCTGACTCGGCTGGCGGGGGTAGGAAACACACAACCTCCTCTTTTACAGTGTGGTAAGTTGCCATCAGCAAGCCTGTCCCCCACGAGAACATCATGGAGAGAGAACATGAACGAACTGTGTAAGGTAAAATGTTAACGACTGGTGGGTCTCCCACACAGAGGGTAGGAGCGTTGAGGGCATTCTCTTCCCACCTCTTTGGCATACTGAAAAGTTCTCAAAATAAAAATTGCCGGGCGGGGTGAGGTGGGGATGCTTTGAAGCAAAACCTTTAAAACAGACACGTTGAGCTCACCCTAAGCGGCTTTCTGAGGGACCTGGGTAACTTTGGTCTATGTGTCTACCTAACAAGTGAAGTGGGTACAACTTCAGCGTAGAGACTGCATGAAATGGGGGACTGTTTGCACCTCTGAGGAGTTCAGAAGGATATCTGGAGCTGGGCTGGAAATATAAAATAGAACAAAACTCATTGTCTTTCATCAAAATTAACTTCAAAAGATCCCTATGGCTTAACAACCTCCCTATTGAAGAAGCAAATATGAAACTGTATACAAACAGAGATTGTAGGGCACTCTGGCTACTACGTTCATCGGCAGTCCAGAGGATGTTTTAGACAACCCCATTTACTGAGGGTGCCCGGGGCACACTGCAAACCCTGTAGGTGCGCCAGAGCCTCAGATATGGACATGGGATGTGGCTGCTCAGCTGTTCAGAGACCTGCGACTGTGACATCTGAACACAGAGCAGCGGTGCTTTGGGGGATGAGGATAATAGCCATTCCCAGCCCCACTTCCTTAAGTAACAGGAATGACATCTATCTTGTAAGCCAGAGAGATGGCTAGTGTTTCAATAAACCACACAATAGCATTAAACATCAAATATCATCATCCTGAAATATTTTATTATATATGATAATAGTTGCATAACCATCTGAAAAGGCATTATGGTCATCTCTTTCTTGAAAATCCTTGAAGAGCAAAATGGAATCATAGAGTGTGACAAGTTGAGCCTAATCTTTTACAGCTGAAGAAGTTGCTTTATGCCAGGGAAATAATGCAATTGATTCAAGGTCCTGGAGCAAATCAATGCTACACCTTGAGACATAACGGGTTTCTTGATTCCTAGGGGCCCCTTCATGTATCAGGAGGTTGTGTAGACTTTCTCTAAACTCCACCTCAAATCTGGCATATGCTGACAGTGTCCCACCCCAACACTATTTGTCCCAGTTTTCTTCATCCCAGTAAATGACAATTCCATCCTTCTAAAAGCTCGGTCCAAAACCCTTAGGGCATCCTTGACTCCTCTCTTTCCATTACACTCTATACCCAACCCATCAGCAAACTCGGTCATCTCTGACCTTTAAAATGCATGCAGAATCCAACCATTTCTCAACATTTCCACCTGCCACTACCCCAGCCCAAGTTACCAAAATGCCTTGCCTGGTCTCCTTCACTCCTGTACAGTCTATTTGCCACATGTTAGCAAGAATGGTCCCGCTCAAACTTAAATGAGGCTTTTTCGTTATTCTGATCAAAACACTCCATTGCCTTCCAGGCACTTTAGGGAAAAGCTCCATGTGATCTGACCACTCTGCGGCCCCTTTAAACACCCCCACACGCTCCCCCTCATCTCTCCTCAAGCCACACAGATCCAGAATCTGCAAAGGAGCCCGGGATTCTCCCATCTCAGGGACGTTGCTCCTGCTACATTCTCGGCCTGGAATTCCCATCCCTCAGATATTTGAAAGTCTGGCTTCCTTACCTCCTTCAAGTTCTTGTTCAAATGTCACCTGACTGCCCTGGGAAATCCTGCCACCTTCCCCCCCTTTGCTGCCCTTTGCCCCTGCACTCCTCAGTCCCCGTTCCTGCCTCATTTTGCTCCCCAGCACTTAACACTTCCTGACGCGATTTTACTTATTGATCTGCGTGTCCATCTCCTCCCACTGAGATGGGAACAACATGAGAGCAGGGGCCTCTGCTGCACCCCCGCCGTATTCCTGGCCACGGAAACAGCACACGGGGCAGCCAATAAATACTTATTGATTGAATACATTTTCTGGGGAGAAAAACAGCCTTAAAATGCTTAAATATATCTCTCTGAATATATGTATAAGTTAAGTATTTTATTAACTTCTTCATTGAAAATACCAAACCAATGTTTCTATTTTGGAGATTTAGAATGAATAATTAAAAGATTTAAAAATAAGCAAACAGACTAGGAAAATGGCGGCAGAGTGAATGGAGCTACACAGACCATCTCCCAGGACCAAACTGGAATTACAACGAAAATAAAGGCAAATCGTCAGGAAAAGGCAACCGAAACGCAGCTTGGAGGACCACATAACGAGGGACACTGACTCGATCCTGGTAGGACTGCGGAGACGTGAGAGGGGGGCTGGGAGTCCACAGTCCTCAGCAGCCTTGGCTGGGATCTGCGACCTCGGCTGGGACCTGCGATCTTGGCTGGGATCTGAGGTGGCCCGGCTGGGATCTGCGGCCTTGGCTGGGACCTGCGGCCTCGGTTGGGACCTGCGACCTCGGCTAGGTGTTATGCCCTCGGCTGGGAGCTGCCACAGCCTCCACCGGGAGAGACGGCCTTACCTGGCAGCAATGCCCTCGGGTTAAAGTCCCAAGCAGCTCCACAGTGCAAAGCCAGGACAGAGGCTAAATTGGCAGCAGCCACTCAGCTTGGGCTCCAGGAGAGGGAGGGCAGACTAGACTGGAACTGTGTGGGGACACTCGGGATCTGGAGGGTGCTCAGAGCTTTTGTTGAGTTGCAGCCATGCAGGACTGTGGTCATCTTACTCCTTCCCAGGGCCCTGGGGAGAGGGGTGGCCCCTTCCTCCAAGATTCAACCCCACCTGGTGGCCATTGAAATGCTAATTGAGGCCCATTAACAACCAGCAGCTGCCCCACCCTCGGGAAATCCTCTTACACTGAGCACCTGAGGGAGTTTTTCATTCAACTCAGGAACCAAGGTTCTTCAGGTGACCTCTACTAATACCCTCCAGGCAAAAAAGCTAGAGGATAACTACCATTCCCAGGGCTAGCAACTCTAACCAGAAAATTTAAAACTTGACAGTGGTGTTTAAAGTGGGTCCTCCCTGCCTCATCCAAACCCAGGAGAGGGAGCCACAAACAGCAGAACACCAACACCCACAGGGAAAATTTGGCAGGCTCCAAAGCCCACTGTGATAGCCAAAATGGTGAAACACAGAAACAAAAGCCAAATGAAAGAACAAGAGACCTCTACCGAAGATGAGATAAATGAGATGCAGTTATGCAAGTTAACAGAACTAGAATTCAGAGCCATGATCTTGAGGAAGCTCAACAGGATGTGTAAAGACATGAGCACCATGAGTAAAGACATAGAAATGTTGAAAATCAACCAGTTGGAAATTAAAAAGAAGAAAGAAGAAATGAAGAATGACATATCAGAAATGAAAAACACATTGGAAAGTCTAAATAGCAGAGTAGAGGAAGGTGAGAACTGGATCAATGAATTAGAAGACAGGGTAGAAAGAAATCAACCAATCAGAAAACCAAAAAGAAAAAAAACAATTAAAAAACAGGAAGACAGCTTAAGAGAACTGTGGGACAACTGGAAACGTAATAATATTCACATCATAGGAGTCCCCGAAGAAGAAGAAAATGAGCAAGTGTTAGAGAATATATTTGCAGAAATAGTGTCAGAAAACTTCCCTAATGTGGTGAAGGAAGAAGGCATTCAAGTTCAAGAAGCACAGAGAGCCCCAAGGAAAGAGAACCCAAACAGGCCCACACCAAGACACATAGAAATCAAAGTGTCAAAAATTAAAAACAAAGAGAGAATCCTAAAAGCAGCAAGAGATAAGCAACAGGTTACCTACAAAGGCACCCCCATAAGGCTCTCAGCTGACTTCTCAACAGAAACACTACAGGCCAGAAGGGAATGGCTTGAAGTAATCAAGGTCATGAAAAACAAGGATCTGAATCCAAGACTACTCTACCCAGCAAGGCTATCATTCAAAATAGAAGGTCAAATAAAGAGCTTCCCAGACAAAAAAAAAAGATAAGGGAATATATTAGCCCCAAACCAGCATTGCAATAAATGTTAAAAGGACTGCTATAATTAGCAGGAGAAATGGGAAGAAAAATATAACCACACTAAATAAAAATGGCAATAAATAAGTACATATCAATAATCACCTTAAATGTGAATGGACTGAATGCTCCCATAAAAAGACACAGAGTAGCTGATTGGATAAGAAAGCATGACTCATCTATATGTTGTTTACAAGAGACCCACCTCACAACAAAAGACTCACATAGATTGAAAGTGAAGGGATAAAAAAAAATCTT